TGAGGCTGGGGCCTGGGTGCGGGGTGAGCACGTCTGAGCACATGTGTCCATAATCGGGCTTGTAGGAAGCCGTGGACGCGTGAGTGCAAGCATGTGCATGCACGTTCTGACACGCAGGAAAATCTGCCGAGGCCCGAGGTCACGTGGCCACAAGTACTCACGCATGCGTCTGAGCATGCGCATAAGCAGGCCGGTATGTGCATGTGTCCTTGCATGTGCAAGCATGTGTGTGCAATCAGGCCATGTACATCCTGGCCCCCAAGGCACCGGTAGTCCGGGGCCTGTGCACCACTATACCTGGGCAGAGTGCACACACACCTGCCCGTGGGTGTGTGTGCAGGGTCACACGGGTGTACGTGCCCTCCTGCAGGTGCCAGGAGTGTGGCTGGGAGTGGGTGTGCAGGGCTTCACAGGCATGGGTCCCGCACACAGAAGCCAGGATGTAGGTTATGTGTACCTGTCTGTGCGCACAGCAGGATGTGCCAGAGGTGGGCGTCCCGGTGGTCTTCCAGACCCCGGCTCTCACCTGTTCCCAGAGTGCTCCTCTCTGCAGCCACCCCTCAGGTATGCTTGGCTTCCCCACCACCCCAAACCCGGGACCTTCGCATCTCTCCTGGCTGCCTGTTCCTGCAGGGGTGGCTCTGTCCCTCAGAAAACAGTTAAACCTGCTGGGTCCTTCCAACCCACCAGTCCCAGCCCTGCCTTCAGAGCCCAGGGCGAGAATGTGCCCAGAACCCTGGCCTCTGCAGCACTGGGGTCTGTGGCTATCCCTCTCTCTTACCCCATCTCCCTGTTTCTGGGATCTCCCACCATACTGTTTCTCTCCCTCTCCCTGGCTCTGTCAGCCTCTCTCCCTGGGTCTGTTTCTGCTTCTCTGCCTCTATCCACCAGTCTCTCTTGGGCTCCGTGCCTGTCACCTCACCATTCATCCGTTCCGCCTCCCCCGATCTCTAGCTTCACTCCCTGCCTGTCACTGCGCCCCACCCTCTCCATCTCCCTCGCTCTACAGCCTATGACCTCGTCTTCTCCCTAACCAGAATCTTCACTCACTCTCCGCTTCATTTAGTTTCATCTTTCAACTTTAGTTCTGGTGTCTTTGGTCACAAAGATGCTTATAATTATGCCGTGGTCAAAACGGTCTCAGTGTTTTTCTTCGTGCCATCCACATGTGTGCCTTGTCTAAGCGGGCCTTCGTATCCCCAGGGTCACAGACACACTCCCCTAGGTTTCCTCAGCACCTCTGTGTATGGTGTGAGGTAGGGATTGCATTTTCCTGAGGGATGACCAGTTACCACAGTGCAAGGTACTGTGTCCTCGGCCCACTGATCTGAAACGGCACTTGTGTCTTTACTAAATTCTGACCCTTCTCACTGCCTATCCCATTCTCTTCCCGTTTGTACTGATCTTCCTCATTGCTTCATGTTTCTATTTCAACCTCCCTGTGTCCCTGTCTCAAAACTTGTCTCCCAGGACCTCTGTCTGTTGTCTCTACTCTTGCATCCTTGTTTCTTGCTTCCTCTGCTTCAGTCTCCCCTCCTGCCCAGCCCACTTGGCCCCACACCTTGGATGAGCTCACGCAGGGCAGCGTAGCGCCGGTTACGCAGGCGGGTGCGCAGGGTGCGGGGTCGGGCGCTGCCCTGCCGGGCCACCTCGGCACAGTAGAAGTCTGCCCGATGGTCACCGCGCAAGTGGCCAAAGCAGGCCAGGTGCTCCTCACGGAGGCTCGTGCGGAAGCGCTCCAGGAACACCAGCGGCTTCTCATGGTACAGCTGGCCCAGGATGGCCACCTTCTCCTGCTCGGTCAGGTCAGGCTCGCCCTGCTGCTGGCTGCACACGGGCAGGCGGCTGGCGGCCACGGCACGCAGCATGGCACTCACCGCCGCATCCTCAACCCCAGGGGGGCCACCATTCGGGGCCTCTGGTGCTCCCTCTGCTGCTTTCACCTTGTCCTGGGGTCTGGGTGGGACAGGCGTCCAGCTCAGCTCCCCCCAGTGCCCAGTACTGGGCTCTGTGCAGCCTGTGGGGAGAGGGGAGATTTGTCAGTCCTGGGATGGGAAGGGAGGGGGCGGGGGAGGGGGGTGGGTGGAAAGGCCTAGATGCTCAGCCACTCATTTCACATTTACTGAGCACCTACTATATTCTGGGCACTGTTCAAGGTCCTAGAGATGCCACAGTAAGCACAAAGTTGACATTTTAGTGGGGGACACAGACAGTGAGAAATATAATTACTGAAAACATGTGACATGTTAGCAAACGTACAGTCTGTCGGGTGGTTCCAAGGACTATGCAGAAAAATAAAGAGGAAAGGCAGAAGGACTGGGGTTAGTGGGGGGCAGTCTACAATTTCAAATGGGGCAGAGAAGAACTTGCCAAAGAAGTGACATTTCAGTAGAGTCCTGAGGTGGTGAGGGACTGAGCTATGACAGTTTTGGAGGAAGAGAGTTCCAGGGAGTGGGAACAGCCAGTGCAAAGGCCCTGAGGCACAAGTGAGCTTGGTGTGTTTACTTGGTCCTTTACCACATTTATTGACTCACTCAATTCTTTGCCTTTTCACTTATTCAGAAAATCACTAACACAAGCACTAACTTGTTCACTCACTCCCCATCTCCTACTCATTCACACGTTGATCCAAAGACAATATGGGCGCTGGTAACAGGAAAGCTGAACTGTAGGCAAATCTTGTCGAGAGCTGTTTCTCAGAAGTTGTGGGACTGGAGCAAGGCTGAGCAAGCAGGAAATAAGAGAAGACAGAAAATAGAGGCAACGCCTTTGGGCAGCTTGGCTGGTACAGGGAAGCGGGGGTGAGGGTTTACAGGTACAATGGGCTTCAGGGAGGGTTTTAATCATTGAGACCAGAGAAGACTGAGCCGGACCAGTCTTGCAGGGGATGTGCAGGAGGGGATGGGGCAGGGGTTGGAAAGATGCTCTGGGGGCTGAGTAGGCAAGCCTCGGGGCTGAAGAGCTGAGAGGTGGGGTCTCATCTAGTTCAGGTCCAGGGTTCTGGTGTGGGGCTTGGTCAAACTGTCCCTGAGACAGAGTCATGGAGGAGGAACAGGTCTTGGGATATGGAACGTATCATGGGCACAGGGGACATCCAAGGGGAGACATCTAAGAGACTGCTAGAGGCTTCTCACAAGAAAAGTGCAGGGCTGGGGCCAGAGTTGTGAAGCCCATGGAGCCAAGACAAAACTAAAGCCAGAGGAAATGAGAGGTCATGGGGAGGGCATGGGAGTGTGTGAGGGCAAGAGAAGAGGGGGCTAGAAAGAGGCCTGACTCGGGAAGAGGACGTGCCCGTGAAGGAGACCAACACAGGCTACAAAAGGGGCCCCCGAAAGATAGCTGCGCCTTAATTCCTAGAGGCTGTGTTACTGCATCTGGCCAAAAAAATGGGTCTCCACAGATGCGATGAAGTTAAGGCTCTTGGGACTGGGAGATTATCTTCGATTGGGGCCTAAATGCCACAATGAGTGTCTGTAAGACAGAGTCCGAGAGGGAGCCTGGACATTTGCAGAGAAGGGCCACGTGAAGACGGACAGAGGCAGACGCCTGAGTGATGTAGTCAGAAGCCAAAGAATGCCAGGAGCCATTAGAAGCTGGAAGAACCCCCGAGGGAGCCCTCCACGGTCCTGCTAACACCTTGATTTTTGCCTAGTGGTACCAATTTCAGGCCTCTGGCCTTCAAAACTGAGAGAATACATTTCTGTTGTTTTTAGCCCCCGAGCTTGTGGTCATTTGCTGCAGAGGCCATAGAAAACTGACAGAGGCTGAGCAGGAGGAGCCTGAGAGAAGGGAAGGAAATGGGAAAGACCGGTGTCACCGAAACCGAGGGACAAGGTTCAAGAGCGATGGAGGATTCAATGGCATTGAATTCTCTGAGCAGTCCAGTAGGAAAAGCCCTAAATGGGGTGACTCCGTTGAAGTACTCGGGGGAGGTCATTGGCGGCCTTGATCAGAGCAGTTTCTGAAGGTGAAAGCCAGACGGCAAGTGGGTGGGAGGTAAGGAAATGGGAGACAGGTGTGGAGGACTCTCTGGAGAAGATACATGGTATCTGGAAGGTACATGGGATCAAAGGATAGACTTTAGGTTAAAACATTTTTTATTACAGAAAATTTCCAACATGCACAGATGTAGAGAAGACAACCAAAGTCCCCCTTACCCCCCCATGGCCCACCCCCTACCCCACATGGCCATCATCTAGCTTCAACAGTTACCAATTCTTGGCCAGTGATGCTTCAGCCAACTTCCCAACCGCTCCTCGCCCCATCTGGGATGACTCGGAAATAGCAGGATGAAAATTTAAGATGAGCAAAATGAAAGCATTTTTATTTTTTTAAATGTTTATTTATTTGTTCTGAGAGAGAGAGATTGAAAGAGCGTGAAAGCGGGAGGAGGCAGAGACAAGAGGGAGAGAGAGAGAATCCTAAGCAGGCTCCGCACAGTCAGCTCAGAGCCCAACGTGGGGGTGGGGGGGTGGGGAGGGGGCTGCATCTCACAAAGCCTGAGATCACAATCTGAGCAGAAATCAAGAGTTGGAGGCTTAACCCACTAAGCAACCCAGGTGCCCCCAAACTAAAGCATTTTAGATACGGAGGGGAAGGCATCAGGAGAATAAAGAGATTGAAAATGCAAAGGAAAGGGGGCGGGGGGGGGGGGCGGGGAGGCAGCACAGAAATGGATTAAGGACCTGAGGCGGCAGATGGAACTGCGGATTTTGGTGGAAGGGGAATGAGAATGAAATGGGGAAGCTGTTTAAGTCTCGAATAAGCAAGACTTTGCATGGGACAGGAGGAGGGTGAGCCTGGGGACAAGGAAAGGGTGTGACTTAGGGAAGGAGGTCATTTGAAAGGCAGGGTTGATTGGGACACTGGGACTTAGCCGGGACAGGGGACAGGTTTATGTTGACCTAAGAGTTAGCCTGGTAAGGAACCGGGCTAGCTTGGCACATGGAAACGGCTGGATTGGAACTTGAAAGAGGTTAATTTCAGGGGAGGGGATGGGGAAAAGCACTGCAGCTCGCAACAAGGGACGGATTAATCTGGACTAAGTGGCCACGCGGACTGGTAAACCCGAGAGCAGGTGTCCCCCTATAAAGAGTCCTCCTGCGAGCTCACGGGGAATCATTTCCCAGTGACACCATAGCCCCACCCTCCCGCCTCCTCCGAGTGGCCAGGACCTCACCTTCATCGGGTTCCCTCGCCGCCGCCGTGGTCGCCACGGTCTCCATCCTGATTCTCTATTACTTGTTAACAGCCGCGGCAGGCCCCGCACGCCAATTCTTGTCCCAAGTCCTCAGCGGCCACTTCCGGCCGAGCACACTCCTGGGTCCCGGTGCTCCGCCGAGTCCGAAACAACAGTTCCGGGCTGAAGGCGAACCTTCCTTTGCGCATGCGCGCCTCCCCCAGGTCCCGCCTCCTCGCAGCCAGGAAGGTTAAGGGCGCTGGAGTCAGGGGAGTCTCGTCCACTCTTCCTCCCCCACCCCTATCTGACCTGCTGCAGAATTGCAGTGTCTGGAGGGATCTGAACTACTGTTCACTGCTCGAACTTCAAAGTCTGGCATGCTTACTTTTTGGATGGATAGTTGAATGGCCACCTTCCAGAGGGTTTATGGTCTGGCTTTGACTCCAATCCATCCCCTTTTTGTCCTTCACCACCTCAAAGAATAACTAAGCTTGTCTCTTGCTTCTGGCATCACAGCCAGTCCCTGGCTAGCAGGATATGGGCGGTGAGATCAGACAGAGCTTCCCACTGTGTTCCCAGGACCTTGGGAATTTGCAGATGTGGAGGGGGGACAACCTTGGTCCTGATCTGCTTGAGGTGTTGGGTAGGGACTCCTATTCAAGTGTGAGTTACCAACAAAGTAGGCAGACACCACGCAAGTGACTACCCTGAGTGGCCAGGGATCTTATGGGGTTGCCTACCCCAGCCTGGAGGGTCAGGGAAGGCATCCTTCCAGGAAGAGACACCCAAGCTGAGACCTGAACGATGAGCAGGACTTAAAACCACCGATCTAAAGTTCAGAGGAACAGCAAAAGATGAAGCCAGAGAGGTCACCAGGAGCCAGGCACACGGGTGGGGTTGGGGGGCTCATAAGCTGCACTAAGTAGCTTGAGCTCCTTTATCCTTCAGGTAGCAGGCAGGAGGGCATCAGGGTAAAGGACTAGAGGTAAGGGGAATCTGTGAGGAGGCTGGTGCAATGATCCAGACACTGGACAGGAGGAAGGGAATAACTTCCCATTGGCATCACCAGGATGAGGGATCTGGAGGCCCATTTGCTACACAGCAGATGGGTGGAGACTACACTTAAGAGATTACCCAGAGAGGTCAGCAGAGGGTGCTGTTGCCCTACATGTGGACCTGCAAGGAAGGGGATTTCCCAGATGGGGGCCAAGGCCCTTCCTTCTGCTCTCCGGGATAGGTGGAGTGGGGGCAGGGGTACTGTAGGGTCCCTTTTAGCCCAACTAGCCACCAGTCTTGGCTCCATCTCACATTCTAATGCCCCAGCCCCAATCTCAAAGCTGGTCAGCCTTCCTCCTGCCTTTTTGCAGCCTGTGTCCCATTCACAAGGCTCTGAGGTACTATAAGGGAAGGGGCTGAACTGGCCACTCCTGTGCCCCAGGACTGTCCCTCACAAGGGGCCAGGAATACCACATGTCCAAAGGGGATAAAGGAATGACTCCAGTTGTTGGGAAAGGAGGATACTAGGCCACAGAAATGCAATCAGAGTCTTTTACCCTGGCTATTTTTAAAACTGTTCTCTTGTCCAGCTCCCCTCACCAAACTCTCCACCTCCGGCTTTCACAGCTGACCACTTGGTGCCGTCACCATTTAGAAAGTTTGTGTTACCTCTGGACTGGGAGACCCGTGAGAGTAGGGCTCAGGACTGCCTTGACCATGCTATATCCCCAGCACTGTCCAGAGTGAGGCACAGAGCGGGCACCGTGGAATTCCCACCGGCCTGGATCCAGAAGCATAGGCAGGAACCGTCCTAAGTCTAGCACCCAAGGCCGGGGCTGACGTGTCTGGGGAGTCACACCCAGTGATGACTCCCAACAGTCCACTCCCATCAGCCCTACCTCATCCTCTGCCTAGGGACCTGCCATGCCTTCTACTCACAAATTCATGGAGAGATTTGGGACTGTCTGGTGTGAGAGGATCAGAAAAGAGCGGGGACCAGAGAACTACTTTAAAACTGAGAGCCCCAGTTTTAAGGGGGCATTCCCAGCACCAAAAATGGGGCCCAGCACATGAATCCCTCAATACGTGTTTAATAGATGAGCAAATAATGTCCCCCTGAAAAGGTCCCACCCCAATTAAAGGCCAACTGCAGTAACACTTCAGGGTTTCAACCCTGCTTCCTTCCTGCTAGGAGGTGCCATGTCATTTATTGAAAGAAAACAAAACAAAGCAAACACATTTCTTAATAAGTGCAGTTTGTTAAAATCCTGTTAAAACATATGGGTCAAGGGGAAGTAAAAATAATCAGAGGATCATTGTAGGAAAAACCTTTAGGTCTGGCACCTGGGAGACCTCTGGAGAGGAGGCAGTGGGAGAAATTTCATGTTCTGAAGGGAAGGAGCCCCCCAACCTCCCCTTCTTCCCTCTCACCCGCTTAATCCCACCAGAAACTACCAAGACGCCCGGAATAAAAGGTTTCAAGTTCAATAGTCACACTCTCTCCAAATACAAAAAGCAGTTACAATTCAACTCAACACAGAAGCTTGTGTGCAAAGTTACGGGAAACTGAGACATCGTATAAAAAGTTAGGTTAAAGATGATTCTATAGTTGTGTTTTGTGTGTTCTGTTTTGAGGGTGTGGCTCTTCCTCAGTCACCTGAACTCAGCAAAGAAATGGTTATCCTGATGAAGTATCGACAGCCACAGTAAAAACAGAGAAATTCTAAAAATTAAAAAAAAAAAAAAAAAAAAAAAGCATAATTACCAAAAAAAAAAAATCTGTCACTGCTTCCTCCCTCCGCATTTTACTTTTTAAACTTGTGGGTTTTTTTTTTTTAAATCCTGAAAAGTAGACAGTAAAACAGCTCCTGGAAGAATTTACAACCAACTGCATGAGGGTGTGGGAAGCTGAGGGGGCTGGAGCAGAACTGGGACAGATGGGCAGAAGGGGCCCTCCCTCAGCCACTGCAGCCTCACTGTTTGACCAAGGGGGGGGGGGGGTCTTCAGTCAAAAAGGAGGAGGGGAGGAGGAAGAAGAGAAGAAGGGGAGGAAGAAGGGGACAAACAGAAAATAAAAGGTCACTGTTGCCTGTTTGAATCCAGAGAAAAATGCCCGGCCCTGTGTTGGGGAAGAAGCCCCTCAGAGGGGAGGCAGTGGGCTGAAAGGAGGCAGCCCTGGGATGACCCGTCCCCCAGCACCACAGGACCCAGTGGGGGTAGACGAGGGGGCCGAGGTGGGCGCTGGTGGAGGAAGCCGGCAGGGGCCTCCAGAGCACACCGGCTACTGTGTGCTTGTGCCTCCCTGTGTGTTCCCGGAGTAGCTCCCGTAGTCGTAGTTCCCGTAGTATGGTGGCCACTGGCCCTGGTTCTGATAGTACTGGTTCCACTGCTGGGCATACTGGAGAGAGAGACCAAGAGCACCAGGTTGTCCTTACCCAGACCCACATTTGGCTCCTGCCTTGACCCTACTCCCACCCAGGGCAGAGATGGGTCCCCTGAGAGAGAAATCAAGGCACCTTGGGAGGACAAGTGGTTGACCTGATGCCACGTGGATGGACAGTCAGGGACTAAAGCCCAGACCTCCTGGCTTGCCAACCTAATGTCCTTTCAGGTACAGCCAGATAGCCATATTCAAAACACTTACTAATAGCTATGATGGCCTAGCACCAACCCAGGGGTGTGGACACTGGCCATGGTGCTGAAGCAGGATTTGAAGGCCCCTGCTTTGTAGTTTGCTTGCTGCACTGGGAGGGGAGGTTCAGATCAGGTATTCAGCAGCTGGTACGTTAAGTGTCCACCAAATGGAATGGCTACATCAGACAAATACTGGCCTGAGGCCAGCCCATCTTTTTACGAATAAATACAGACTCCAGTCCAGGCCCCTGGAAGTCTCTTTAGCACACCCTCCCCCCACCCCCATAGCCTGAGTCTGGCACCTACCTGCTGATACTGGTTATAGCTGGGCTGAGGATAGGTCTGTGCGGTGGGGGGCGGCGGTGGGGTGTAGGGAGCCGGGTTGTAGCCGCCATAGCTCCCATAGTTGTAGGCAGGCGGTGGTGGAGGTGGAGGTGGAGGGGCTGTGTAGCCCTGGCTGTACCCTCCCTGGTTGTACGGTGGCTGGCTGTAACTCGGCTGGAAAACGGGGGGAAAAATCAGGGTTCTGTGAAATAGCTCAGCTGGGATGGAGGAAGGGCCTTTGTAAGCAGTGGGCCCACAAAGGAACTTCCTTGGTGGAGGTTGTCTGAGGGCTGAGGAAACGGGTCAGCTCTGGGACATGGCAGGACAGGGTGGGATGTAAGGCTGTGTTCTGCAGTCTCCTGGCTCTAAGACCCTGGGGGAGCAAGGCGCACAGCATCTCTTGAAATTCCACTGCTTTTTCCCCTTCAGACTGCTTTGTATATTCAGTAAGCTTGAGCACTCAATAAGTGGTGGCAGTTGCTCTGGGAAGGTTGGCTGAGAGCAACTGTAGTAGCAATTTCCCAGGTGCTTCCCAAATCCAGGCTCTATCGTTAACCCATCTAATCCCCCCATCAAATCTGAGAGGCGGGTTCCATTAGTGGCATTTTACAGAGAAGGAAGCTGACACTCAAGGAGGTGAAACAACCGGGCCCAAGTCACACAGTAAGAAGTGGTGGAGCTGGGAGTTAAGCTCTGGTCTGTCTAGTTCCAGAGCTTTCCCCACAAAGCTATAATGCCACCCATCCCTCACAACAAACCTCAGAAGTGAGTTCTATAAACAACTCTAGCCTTTTATGAAGAATATGAGGTCCGGAGAGGTGAAACATTTATGTAAGGTTACAGAACTAAGACGTGGGGCGGGGGCTTGAACTCGTGCCTGCCCAAATCCCATTCTAGGAAATATTCTGGTTAAAGCAGGACTAGGAGCCATTCACCAATGTCTCTTGGCAGCTGTTCCCAGGCCTGGCATGTGGAAGGCGCTCAGGAAATGGCTGCGGATGGCTCTGGGTGACAGGCCTGTGCATACCAGAGTCCGAGCACCAGCTTGTGGAGAGTTGGAACTGAGCTAGGAGCTGCTCCAGAGTGAAACTCTCAGGGCACAGGGCGAGACCTCCCAACCTTAGGGCCTGTCTCAGTACGTTAGAGATAAGGGGGTCAGTCCCTTCCAGCCTCGGCAAAGGGCAGCTCCGATCAAGTGCTTTCTTGGGGATTCAGTAGAGGCCAGCGACACAGCCCAGAAAAATTTACTTGCTGGAGCATTCAACACTTACAGCACACCACCCTGACAGGTGGGGTGAGGGGGAAAAACAAGAAGTTCCCAATTTATCTGGGTCTGGAAGGAGTATCTAGGGTCCATCCAGTCAGAAGCACTGCCAGGAAGAAGGGCAGGGCTGGAGGGAAGAGTGGAGACCCGCGGCTGGAGCACGGGACCACAATCGCTGCCCCGTACATGTTATGTTCTCACCTGTGGAGGGCTGTAGCTGCTGACAGTGGGGGTGCTGGTATTGGCGCTCGAGCCAGGGATGTTGCTATTCTTGTTGTAGCTGCTGGCCCCTGGTGGGTTCCGAGCGGGGCTGTAGCTGGGTGGTGGCGGCGGCTGTTGCGGTGGAGGCTGCGGTGGCGGGGGCTGCTGTGGTGGTGGCTGTTGCTGGGGAGCCCGGTTGTAGCTGCCTCGGTTGTTGGAATTGTTGTTATCCCGGTTGTTGTTACCCCAGCGGTTCTGGTTGTAGCCACCACCTCCGCTGCGGTTGAAACCTGCATTGGAGAAGCCAGGTGGGAGGTCTCGTCATTCTGAACTTGGGACCCTCAGGAGCTGGGCTCCACTCTGGGTTTCCCCAGACCCCTGGGCACGTCCCCCATACAGCCCTGATAACTCAGTCTTCACGGTCTGCTGACAGGTTTGTCCTGCCCACTGGACTGTGAGCTCGTGACCAGGGCTGTTTTGGTTTCTACTGTGTCCCCAGCATCTTGATAGCTATTGAACAAATCAGAGAAGGTCAGGAAGAGGGATGCTAAATATTGAGGACAGTCCTCTTCAGGCTGGGTCAAATGGGCCATCTCTCCTGAGCCCTTGACCAGCTGCTGCTGGGCCCAGAACCCTTCCCCTGTTAACTTCCACAGGTCTCTGGACCTCAGCCTAGACACTGCTATCTTGGGAGGCCTTTCCTGAGCCTGGCTCCCTCACAGGCTGGATCTGGTGTCACCCAAGCTCACAGTAACCCTGGGCTCTGCCATTCAGTCCAGAATCCTTCTGTACTGTCAGCACAGGGTGATATGTCTGTCCAGGTCATGGCTGTGTCCCCAGAACCACCTAGCACAACACTGAAACAGTTGGGTATGCTAGTTAAATCATGATCATACACTTTACCTCAGAGACAGCAGAACTTAAGATAGAAAACTTGGGCACTGGACCACCTGCTCCCAGCTCTGGATTTAGCTGGGAGAAACTTGGGCAAATTAACCTAAGCCCATTTTTCTATTTGTTTGAATACTAAACCCCGAAAACAGTCCTAACGTTTGCCTTGTGCCTGAGCTGGAAGGCAGGACCGGCAGTAAACTCGGCCTGGCCCCTCTTCTTAAGGAGCTCATGGTCAGATGGAAGGTTGGACTCGTAAAAATGACAGAGGGTGACCTACAAACGGGCATGGGCTTCAGAAGCAATCCCCAGGAGAAGCAGGACAGTGGGAATTTCCCTGAGGCCCCAGAGTTTGATCACCTTGGTTCTCCACCAGAATTCAGCCCACAGCTGGTGCTAGGGAAAATTCATCTGCTGACTGAATAAGCAATCACCAACCCTGACCCGGGAGCCAAGAGCGGAGAGAGCTCTGCTTGAGATGTCTCACCTCCTCGGTAGTTGCCTCCTCCACCACTGCCTCCTCCTCGGTTCTGGAAGCCTCCTCGGTTGCCCCCTGGTGGGCCTCTGTTGTCATAGCGCTGGAAACCACCACCGCCCCCACGGCCCCGAAATCCACCACCACCTCGGTTGTCAAAGCGCTTTTCAGGGGGTGGCCCGGCCTTGCGACCTTCTTCGTTGTATTGCCTCACCAGTTTGTCTGCTTCTTCCCGCTGCAGCTCAATGAACAGCACCTCATCCAGGAAGTCCCCAACGTCTGGTAACGTGAAGTTGGCTAGGAGGAAGGCAGGGCCCCGGAGGGAGCAGGGAGAGGGAGGTCAGTACCTCCCAAGGTCTAGTCCCCTACACCCCCAGGACACTGGCCGGCCAGAAGGGAGATGGCAGAGGCATGAATAGTGAGTGACAGAAGTGAGAAAGGGTCCTAACCTCTCTGACAATGATCAGGAGTTAATAAAGACTCTCCTGTCCCTTTTCTGAAGAGGTGGCTACAAGCCCCACCAAATATAAACACTCCCTCCAGCCTCCCCAGGGAGTGGGCCAGAGACGTGGAATCACCATCCTTGTTTCTACACAGGAGCAGAATGAAGCTTGCTCAGTCACCCCACCAGTGGGTGCCAGAGGCAGGAGATGTGCAGGTCTCAGCGTTTCCCGCCACGTGTCCTCTCCCTCATCCCGCCCCAGCCCCATCTAGTCTAAACCATGCTGTGAGAGATGCCAGCAGCTCTTCCATTCACAGGTGCACTAGACAGGGAAGGGCAAAATGGGAGCAAGGAAAGAATGGACAAGATCAAAAGAGGAATAAGCAAGGAGCTGGGGAGGAAAGGACGATGGAAGGCGCTTTTCTCCTAAGGACTCTGCTGTGCTGGCTTATCTCCTACCTTTCATTTCTAGGACCGCGTGATCTGGGACATCCTTCCCCTCCTCATCAGTTCGCTTTATAGTCCGGTCTTTTAGGTCCTCATCAGTGGGACAAATTACGATAGCTTTGCGCTGGAAGCCTTCAAATGGTCTCATTTTTCGTCTCTGGGCTGACCCATAAACATTTGTCTAGGGGTAGGAAACAGAAGAGGCAAGAGATGGTACGTTACGAGTTGGGTTTTTTCCTATCAGGTATTCTGTGGGCCAGGAATTGAGAAAAGGATACTAGCTCTAAGCAAACAAAACAAAACAAACTCAGGAAACTGTGCTCTTTTTTTGTTAAGATTCTTGAGCCCATTCTGAGAAATTGGCTTTGGGAAAGTGGCTGCTGACAGTCACAGGACAAGGGGTACCTACACTTGGGCTTTTAACTCCTATTTGTTCTTGGTATGCCATTTTACGCCCTACCCCTCCCCACCCCCAATTCTAAAAGTAACACCTGCTCACGATAAAACTGTCAGAGTACAAGGATAAAGTTTAGAGTAAGAATAATCCCTTCATCCGCTTACTGCCAGTCCTACTTCCCAGAGATGGCCTGTACTGAATTTATGTATTTCCAGGAAGATCTGTGTGATTTTTTTTTCTTAAAGCACCGACTTTGAGACCTGGTGGAAAAATCTAATAGGTACACAACAAAAAGTGTTCATGTTTAAAATGCAGGGTGCACGGGTGGCTCAGTCGGTTAAGTGTCGCACTCTTGATTTTGAGTTAGGTCATGACCTCACAGTTCATGGGATGGAGCCTGCCTGGGATTCTCTCTCCCTCTCTCTTTACCCCTTCCCTGAGCTTGCTCTCTCCCCTCCTTTTCTCTCTCTCTCATAAAAAATAATAAAATATGCAACGCTTCACAAACATGTCATCCTTGAGCAGGGGCCATGCTCACCTTCTCTGTGTCGTTCCAATTTTAGTGTGTGTGCTGCCAAAGTGAGCACCGATCTGTGTGATTTTTAACACAAGTGGAATCATGCTACATACTCTCCTAAAGGCTTTTTTCACTTAATGTTTCTTTAACCTTTTTTCTGTGTCAGTGTTCACTTTTAATGGCTCCATAATATTTACACAGTGGTTGCCATAATTAACCACCCCCTTTTGACTGCCGTGTGGACTGTTTTCATTCCCTCAGTCCCTCTCTAAAACATCAGTCTCATCCACAGGCTTTTACCCAGAGCCTGACGAGGCAGCAGCCCATGCTTTTCACAAGCGGTTTTGCTGCTAACATTTTGTTCTCTTCGTCTGGGCGGTGTGCAGTGTGCACTGGGCACAAAGTGGGTCTCTAGAAAACACTTGATTGAGAGCAGCAGTGACCATTAGCTTCCATTTATTGAAAACCAACTATATGCCAGGCCCTTTGGGACTGGGGCCCAGACCTGGGAGATTCAGCCTGCACACCCAAACCTTCTGGATGCTACTCCAAAAAAAAAAAAAAAAAAAAAA